TTAACACATTTATTGAGCTATAGTTTACATACTACCAATTCACCCATTTAAAGTGTACAGCTAAATGTTTTTTATCATTAGCACTATTCAATTTTAGAGCATTTTAGTCCCCCACCACTTACCCCATTCCTATTAGTGGCCACTCCCCATTTTCCGCCATCACCACAGCCATAACCAACTAATAATCTACTCTTTTTCTCTATAGATTTGCTTATTCCTGGTTTTTATATAAATTAAATCATATAACATGTGGCTTCTGTAATTGGCTTTTTTATTTAGCCTCATGTCTTCAAGCTTATAGCGTCAGAACTTCATTCCTTTTTATTGCCAAATAAAACCCCGTTGTGTGGATATACTACCATTATTTGTGCATTCATCAGTTCTTGGTGTTCGGATTGTTTCCACTTTGGGGCTACTATGAATAATGTTTCTGTGAACATTAGTGTGTGCAATTTTTTGTGTTGTATGTTTTCATTTCTCTTGGGCATTTGCCTAAGAGTGGAATTGCTGGGCCATATAATAACTATGTTTAACTCTTTGAGGAGCTGTCAAATTGTTATCCAAAGTGGCTAACCATTTTTCATTCCCAATAGGAAGGTAGGCTCCAGTTTCCCACATTCTTGCCAATATTTGTTATTGTAATTCTTTATTATAGCCATCCTAGGGGGTTCAGTGTGGTATTGATTTGCTTTTCCCTAATGACTGATGATGTTGAGCATCCTTAATGTACTTATTGGCTATTTGTGTATCTTTGGAGAAATGTCTCTTCAGATCCTTTGTTCATTTTTCAATTAGACTAATTTTTTTATTGAGTTATATATAATTCTTTATATATCTGGATACAAATACTTTACCAGATATATTATTTGCAAATATACTGTTATTTTATGCATATTTTGTCTCTCTCTTTTTTTATTTTATTTTTTTTAATATGCTCAACTTTTTATTTTTTTTATCCATTTGCTATTTTCTATTATTGCATCTTTATTTTATTTTTATTTATTAAATATATTTTATTGATTTTTTTTACAGAGAGGAAGAGAGAGCTAGAAACATTGATGAGAGAGAAAGATTGACCAGCTGCCTCCTGCACACCCCCCACTGGGGATGTGCCCGAAACCAAGGTACATGCCCTTGACTGGAATCGAACCTGGGACCTTTCAGTCCGCAGACTGACGCTCTATCCACTGAGCCAAACCGGTTTCGGCTCTCTTTTTTTTTTTTTTAATATTGATTTTTCACAGAGAGAAAGAGAGAGGGATAGAGAGCTAGAAACATCGATGAGAGAATCATCAATCAGCTGTCTCTTGCACACTCTCCATCGGGGATGTGCCCGCAACCAAGGTACATGCCCTTGCCCGGAATCGAACCCGGGACCTTTCAGTCTGCAGGCCGACGGCTTGTCACTTTCTTGGTACCATTGACAGCAGAGGTTTTTAATTTTGATATAGCCCAATTTCTTTTTTGTTTTTTGTTTTGGTCATTTGTGCTTTTGGTATCGTATCTGAGAAGCCATTGCCTAAGGTCACAAAGATATACTGTTTTCTTCTAAGAGCTTTACGACACTTTCTCGCTTTTCTGAAATAACCATTTTATATCTTTTCCTCTCTGTAAACCTTCTTTGCTCCCCTGACCCCACCAGCCAGAGATCTCAGCTCTTTCTTACTGAAAAAATAGAAGCATTCAGAAAGAAGTCCCTCTTCCAATCTTCAGGTCTACCAGTGGGCCTCAGAATCGGGCCTTCTTCCCAATCAGTACTAGGTAGCCTCATCCACTTCGTATCTCCAGTTCAGACTTGCCTGTGTACTCCACACTGGCGGATCTGACCACCTCTTCACTAATGGATATCCCTAGGCATCCATCCCAAATGAACATACTCTGTACTCTGTCTCCCTCTGCGCAAATGACGCCACATCCATCCATTTGCTCAGGCCCCAAGCCTACGTGTCATTCATATTTCATCTCCTTCTGCATCCAGTCTATCAATCTGCCTGTTCTACCTCAAAAATATAGCTCAAATCTGTCCACTCATCTCCGTCCTTATCTGAATGACCGTCATCTCTCACTTGGGCCTCCAGGTTAGCCCCCTCGGGAGCCTCTCTGCGTTCACGCCTGCCCCATGCCAGTCCGTGTTCTCTTTACGGCAGTAAGGGGGTTTCTCTTGTTAACATGTTAGCCCCTGCTTGACATTCTTAGTGACTGCATTTCATCGGAGGTAAAACCCACGGCCTTTTCCTTGCTCTGTGAAAGTGCTCCGTGATCCAGACATGTCATCCAAGCTGTGTCCTGCACACCTCCAGGGAGCACCATTCACATGTGTTAACATTGTAGGTTTGGGTTCCTTATGACAATTTTCCAGCAGGTGGCAGTCAAGCCATGAAGATAGGGTGCTTTTTCTGGTTTGCACAAAGGGAGATTTATTGCCTTCAGAGGCTGTCGCTTTCCCTTCTCGGATACAGGGTGGTGTTCTCTCTGGGCCCAGCCTATCTCTAAGAGTTTCTTTTTCTTATTCTTTCTTTCACATATTTCACATTTAAAGACTAGCATGCATCGTACAAAAAAACTCCCATAAACCCTTGGTCTAGTTAACCAATGTTAACATTTAGTCACTTTTGCTTTATCTCTTCTCTACAGATTCATGGTTTTTCCTGACCATTTATTTAAGAGCTGGTTGCAAACACCCTGCCCCTTTGTCCCTAAATCAGTGGTTCCCAACATGGAGCGCATGCCCCACAGGGGTGCAGTTTGACTTTTAAGGGGAGCAATTTGAGAATGAGTTATTAATAGTGAATTTTTTGCATTTCTTATGGGGCCTCATATACAGTATATAAATATATATTGTGACATTTGTGCATTTCAGTTCTCTATGTTTTGAAACTTTATTTGCTATTTTCCATATCACTTCACATTACAATGTTTTAAACAATTTCTTAGTGATTTCTTCCTCAGGACTTCAACTGTCCTTTCGTACTTTTATTTTTCTCTTTCATGGATGCCGTGTTCTTTGGAAGCTTGTTTAGACCAAGTTAATGGCCTCTTAACCTTCCTCCGTGAATAGGAGTTCACTTTTTGAATAATGGGAATTAGAGGTCACAGAGGCGCATCAGGATTTTAGAGATGCTTTAGATGGGACATGCCAAAAAAAAAAAAAGGTTGGGAACTACTGCCCTAAACACTTTGGAGTGTGTTTCTTTTGAATGATAATTTTTCTTTGTTTTGTGGTACACTTAGATTCTTATCACGTTTAGGAAATGTATTATAACATGCACAGTACTTTTATCAGTTATATAGTTCACATCCACATTGTGTCACTTGTCCCCGGGGTGTTTTTCACAGCTTTCACCCTGGTAGCCAGTGTCCGTCTGTCTCACTTTGCATTTATGTGTGGTCAGTCTCCTGTCTGTCACACCATGGATATTTTTTAAGAATACAGGCTAGTTGTTTCGTAGACCCTTTCTCAGTCTGTGTTTGTCTAGTGTTTTCTCATCAGATTCAGTTTTTATGTTTTTGGCAAGAACACCATACAAGTGATGTGTGCTGCTCAGTACATTACGTCAGGAGGCACATGGTATCAGTGTGTTCCATCGCTAAGCGTTGTGTGTTGAAACTGTTCCTGTAGATAATGGAAAATGACATAGATTACTTGGACTCTGGCTATAGGAATTGCTCTCATAAGTAGGTAGCATTCTGTCTGTTCAGCTTTCCTGCTCAGTCAAGTGAGCCTGAGCTGCCTCCCGTTTTTCTTTTTCCTTTGCAACATCACTGCTGGGACTCTCAACTTCCCCTCAGCGATCCTAATCCCTACTTCCTCCCGATAGTCACATCCCGTAACTGGAGTCTTGGAACCAGTGATTATTTCTGCTATACCGTGAGTTTGTCTTTGGTGTTTTCTTAGTTTCAAGTTAGGTTCCCGTGGCTCCAGCTAAGGTTCATTTCAGAGAAGAGGATTGAAGCTGAATATGGGGAAGGACTGGGTGCCAGGGGGTCAGCTGAAACCTTACCCTCAATCAAAGTCTTCCATATTTTGATTATAGTTCACATTTGAGTGGTTACTGTGTGTCATTTACAATGCTAAGCTTTCTACATGCTTTAGCCATATTACTTAAAACAACTTTGAAATAGATGAGAAAACAAAGGTTTAGAAAGGTTAATTAGGGTATATAACTAAAATTACCAGGACTCACGTTCTCCAACTCCAAAGCCCTTGCTCTTTTTTGTATAAGCAAAGAATAGCACAGAGGAAAGTGAAGTAGTTATTAATGTTGAAGTGAGCCTTCACGGATTGGCATCCAAGTGTAGTATCATTGCTGGATGGGAGGCAATTGCCAGCAGTTACCCGAGGTTTTTGAGGTTCTTCAGTTTCCAGTTTAAATGTCCCCGGCCATAAGTCCCACTTGCTTGGGACAGCCTTGCTTTATTTTACCCATTTCCTAACAATTACTAATAGTGGCCCCACTTACTCTCAAAAGTATTGCTTTTTAGATGATTATATGGTCCCCTACCCACAATCCTTCCTGAGTACTCTTCAGATGAACAGAGACTGGTGTTTAATTTTAATTAACACTAATAGAGCTTGATATATTTTTATTCACCACTCTCTGCCCCAGCCCAATTTATAAGTTGCACTTTGGTTTTGGTTTTATAGCCTATTGACTGAATTAAACTGTAGGCACTGTTTGCTTCATTTAGACAACAGTTATCAAGATTTTACCACACTTGCTCTACCATCCTTTCTGCTGAAACATTTGAGGTAAATGATACTTTACCCCATTGCACTTCAAGAGCCACCTCTAAAAAATAAGGTCCTACGTTTTTATAAACGTGTGCAGAAACCAGAGGGACCTTTTGCAGTGTGAATCCTCACCCTGACGTGTCTCTGAGGGAGGGGCACCTGCAATTGGCTGCTGGTCCGGCTTCTCGGGCGAGCAGGATGCAGCCAGGGCACGCCTGGCCAGCGTTCTGGGTATGGCGTGTGACTTACCTTCCCTTTCTTTCGGCAGTGCACGATCTGATTTTCTGGCGAGACGTGAAGAAGACGGGGTTTGTCTTCGGCACCACGCTGATCGTGCTGCTCTCCCTGGCCGCTTTCAGCGTCATCAGTGTGGTTTCTTACCTCATCCTGGCTCTTCTCTCTGTCACCATCAGCTTCAGGGTCTACAGGTCTGTCATCCAGGCTGTGCAGAAGTCAGAAGAAGGACATCCATTCAAGTGAGTTGAAGGATCACAAGGAACACTTTACAGTTTAGTAAAGGGCTTCACTTTACTAAATAAAATATTTAGTAAAGGGGTTATCTGTGGTGTGAGGGTCTGCACCAGGCAGGTGTAAAAATAAGACCTGATGAACAATCAGGAATTATAGGGTCCAATCGGTGACACGAAACATCACCTAGACACCATGCAACCACTATAAGAAATGGCCAAGGACTTCTTGACAAGCTGGAGTCTCACACTTTAAGACCAAAGAGGACTGTCTGAGATCCTGAGCGGGAAAGGCAGCGTGAGGACGCGCTCTGGGAGACGCGCCCTGTGAGACTGGGGACGTGCCCTGTGAGACTGGGGACGCGCCCTGTGAGACGGGGGACTCGCTTTGTGAGACGGGGGACGCGCCCTGTGAGACGGGGCCAACAGCATACAGTCAAGTCTTAAAACGAATTTGAAAGCTTGGTGTTGAGTGATGATCAGAATTTGGTGTGTTACCCTTGGTTTTATGCTGGTTTCCTTCTTCCCTTTTTTGTTATATAGATTTATTCTTTATATATATCATTAAAAACCTGACTCCATTTAAAGGTGTGTGATGCAAGGGAGAGTCCTGTACAATAAAACTGGACAGGTTTGACCTGCCGCCTCCCTCAGGCTGGCTGCTAAGGGCTCAGCACGAGGGGTTATCTGTGGTGTGAGGGTCTGCACCAGGCAGGCGGGCCCTGGCCGGGGTCTCAGGGCACGCAGCCCTCTGCTTATCTTTCCTTTAGTTTTTTTAATACCAGGGGCAAGTTTTGATGAATGTAGGTCATGCATTTCTGAAATCCAGTTGCTAGCTTTTTTGACTGGGTTGATAACATTAGCAAATGCAATGTTTTAAAAACCTTTTTCTCACAGAGAAAGAAACCCTGTTGTGACCGCTCAGAACTGTGACAGAATAGATGTCCGGCTGTGGCTCTGGTCCTTGTGTTTTCTCTTGGTGAAACTAGAAGGAATAATTTAAACTATATGTGGCATTTGAAAAGTTATTGCAAATTAGCTTTAACAAATCAATAGTTGTTAAATGAAGGGGTAAATACATTTTATTTTGCATAAGCTCAGGTGTCATGTCTCTTGCATGACACTGTTGTGGATTTGTAAAATGTGTTTTACCAAGTTGCATTAATTACAACTACTAATTTTTATAATTTCATATTTGGTGGTAATTTTTTTTTAATAAATAGGAAAGAAAAACATGCCTGTTACTCTGCTTTCCCCACCAGACTGTAGGCTCTCTAAGGCAAAGCAGGCTTGTCTTTCCTGATGCCCAGCACCTCAGAGCGGCTCTCACAGGCACTCAGAGTCCTCAGGGAATGACAGTTATAAGCACATGTTTCCTTCTCGGTTCTGTAGTGCCTCTGGGAACAGCACCAGGTCTCTCTTTTTCTGTGGTTTTCACCATATCAAACTCACTACTCCCCTCCTTTATGTTTTTTTAACTAATATGTTATAATGCCTCCTTTATCATTTGAAATGAAATTTATAAATAATATATTTATAAACAAAATTTTAAAAATAGATCCTAATTATAATATAAAGAAATAACAAAATAGCCATGTATAATAAGATAATATGTGTTCCAGCCAATATATAATTGCTTGGAAATGAGTACACAAAAAAACAATAATAACAAAACATCAGATACTTGCACCTACATGTATGATCTCCAATACATATGTGCTTTTCCAAAATGGGGCGGGGGAGGGGGGGGACTTAGCAAAGTTTAGAAAACAAAATACAATTTTAAAAAATTCAAGATATGTTTAGCTGTGAGGAAAACACCTTGTGGGCTGTTGCTCACTTCTGTCATCTTTGCCTCTGCCACTAAATGGCAGTGGTGCCCCCACCCCGTCCGGGACAGCAAAGTGTGTCCCAGAGATTTCTGAAGTGCGTCCGTGGGGGAATTTCACACTCTAAAGGACTGCTGTGCTCACAGAAAGAGGTCTTCTCCTTCCGTGTCCAATGTATGACTGTTGTTTCTTCTTCTGGAAGATCCTACCTGGATGTAGACATCACTCTGTCCTCAGAAGCTTTCCATAATTACGTGAACGCTGCTATGGTGCACGTCAACAGGGCCCTGAAGCTCATCATCCGTCTCTTTCTGGTGGAAGACCTGGTTGACTCCTTGAAGGTTCGTTCCGCTAACCTTGAAGCTTTTGGTGGTGAGTCTGGGGGAAACCAGAGACTAGGTTATGCTTCAGAGGAAAAACAATAAACAGGTTTCCACAGATAAAAACAATTGTATGCTTTTCTCCATCAGCCTGTAAAAATGGAGAGAGGAGTCAATGGAGAAGGTATCTCGTGAACCTGGAGAACTAACAGAATAATGTAATCAGAAATGCATTGACAGTCTTGGGGCCTAAGAGAACTGCAGAATTCTTTTATCCCCCCCTACAATGTATAGTGCAAATGGGGTAGCCTCTATTTTGAAATTATTTATTGCATACATCACTAAGTTTATGTAGACTCAATTAGCTAGACTAGAGGAAAAGGGCATTGGCTAATCTGAAGTTAGTGTCATAACTATTCCCGCTTAATCCTTCGCAGCTGGCTGTCTTCATGTGGCTGATGACCTATGTGGGTGCCGTTTTCAATGGAATCACCCTCCTGATCCTGGGTAAGGTGGCTCGGAGAATGTCTCGTGCTCTTTGAAGTCATTGGTAAGAGTTAAGAGCCAAGAGAAGGCCCAGCATGGCTCCGTTGCTTCCGAATGGCCCCGCCTTTAACATGCATGGAGTCCTTGAACCCAGATATTGTGTGGCTGAAGGTTTATTAGTTTGGTCCTAATTTTAAATATCAGAACAGCTAGAAGCAAAGGAGCATCATCTAGATTTGATTTGAATATGGGGATCTTAAATTTATAAAAATCAATGTACTGTATCTAACTGTCCTTAACTGAGATATCTAGACACTTCTCATATTGAAGATCTGCGCTTCCCTATATCTTTTGAGGAAAAATCTGTGTGTTACTTGAGTCCTGAGACTTTGTGACTCTCACACTTACATGTGCCGTGTCCCATGATTCTGTCTTACAGCTGACCTGCTCATTTTCAGTGTTCCCATTGTCTATGAGAAGTACAAGGTAAGCTATGGCCTGCTTCAGGTCAGATAAGCCATTTGATGTGTGACTACCCTGTTTCCCCGAAAATAAGACAGTCTTATATTAATTTTTCTCCCAAAGTTGTGCTAGGTCTTATTTTCAGGGGATGTCTTATCTTTCCATGCACTAGGTCTTATTTTCAGAGGATGTCTTATTTTTGGGGAAACACGGTAGTTTTAGTTCATTTTTTAGATATGGAAAGTTCAGAGCAATCTCTTCTATTCTGCAATCTAACTTTATAAGTCAGGTACCTATAAGAAACTGGTAACAGTGGTTTTCTAAGTAGACAAACTGTCTAGGAGAGATAAGGAAAGGAAGACTTACTTTTTATGCTTAGTTGTGTGCCTTTTGTGTTTTTATCACATAGCCGCATTATCTGTTAAAATACGTTGGAAACATTTAAATAAATAAAAGCTCATATCTAAAAAGAAAATATTAAGGCTAATATGGGACTCCATCAGTATGAGCAGGTGTTTGCATTGTGGAATGGTGCCTAAAGAATATAATAGATTTATGAGGTTGTTATTTATGGATTAAGTCATCCATCAGCAGACTTTTTGGTATTTTGGTATTAAATGAATTAGTTTTACCCAGGAGCCAAAATACATTTATGATTATAGGAAATAGATTATATACACATTATCTAGTATTCAGAAAATGCTATTATAAGTTCAGTTTCTCTAAAGAAAACACCTAGCAAGTAAGACTCCTGAAGAAATTAGTGATTTTCACTCCTAAGTATGGGATGTTTATGGTTTAATTTAAAATCTGAAATCTGGAGTTTTAAAAATGCTCGTAAAAGCTGGGCAATATTTTTGTTTTCCAGAATATTCAGTAGTGTTTTTAAAAAATAGTTATCCTTAGACAAAAGATCATTGCCTTCAGGAAAATTGTTAATCTTTGTGTTGCCACAACTAAGTCACTTTTCTTTCCTTAAAGACCCAGATTGATCACTACGTTGGCATCGTGCGTGATCAGACCAAGTCGATTGTTGAGAAGTAAGTATGCTTGGGTTCCACATTCCTCATAGCGTGTGCTCCCCACCCCAATGACTTCGTCCCCTGTGTAAAATGTTGATGCCAGTTTTTCACCCGGGGGAGGGGCACCTTGGTTAATAGTTTGATTTTATAAGAAATTATTTCATCTCTCTTTTTTAAAAAAATCCTCACCTGAGGATATGTTTTATTTTTTATTTTATTTTTTTTTAAGAAGGAGAGAGGGGGGATCTGTAGGGAGAGAAACACAAGACAACTCTCAACCTATTGAGCCACTCCAGCCAGGCTCTTCATATATTTTTTTTAATATACATTTTTTAAATTGATTTCAGAGATGGAGAGGAAGAAGGAGATAGAAACATCAATGATGGGAAGGAATCATTGATTAGCTGCCTCCTGCACATTGAAATGAGCTCACAACCCAGGCATGAGCCCTTGACTGGAACCGACCTGGGACCCGTCAGTCCACAGGCGGCTGCTCTATCCACTGAGCCAAACCGGTTAGGGCTCTTCATATTTTTTAAGAAACAAAACTTCAGCCGAGGCAAAACCCGGTTTGGCTCAGTGGTAGAGCGTCGGTCTGCGGACTGAGGGGTCCCAGGTTTGATTCTGGTCGGGGCCATGTACGTTGGTTGCGGGCACATTTCCGTCAGGGGGTGTGCAGGAGGCAGCTGGTCGATGTTTCTCTCTCATCAATGTTTCTAGCTCTCTATCTCTCTCCCTTCCTCTCTGTAAAAAAATTAATAAAATATATATTTTTAAAAAAAACTTCAGCCGAAACCGTGGATAGAGCGTCGGCCTGCGGACTGAAAGGTCCCAGGTCCGGTCAAGGGCTTGTACCTTGGTTGCGGGCACATCCCCAGTAGAGAGTGTGCAGGAGGCAGCTGGTCGATGATTCTCTCTCCTCGATGTTTCTAACTCTCTATCCCTTTATCTTCCTCTCTGTGAAAAATCAATAAAATATATTTTTTTAAAAAGAAAAAGAAACAAAACTTCAGCCCTGGCTGGTCAGCACGCCCAGGTTCAGTCGCCATCCCCGTGGAGGGTGTAGGAGGCAGCCGATAGCTCTTTCCCTCTTCCCCTAAAAATCAATAAAAACGTTTATTTAAATAATAAAAAAAGGAAACAAAACAGTTAAACCTACTGTTTGTGTCAGTTCCTTTCGCACACCAGATTTTAGTACATTTTCCAGCTTTAATAAGAGGAAACTGGTTATGTCCAGACAGCTCTGGCTTGATGCCAGGGCCTTTACCTGCTCTTGTTAGGTGTCCATGGGAGCTAACATCAGGCAAGGACAGTTAACACAGACATGTATCTAGTTGCTGTTCACTCCTGATTTGGAAGGCAATCCTTGCTTACTTGGCTTTGAACCTAATGTCTGGAATTGGCAGTTTTGGCTGACTGGGCCCCTGCCCCGGGATGTAACACTGGTGGGGAAAGGCTTTGGCATGGCTGGGAGGTGTGAATGGCCTTGGTCATGGGGACACTTAGCAAACAAAATAAAGGCAGCTTTGGTGTCCTGTGGGGAATTGGGGAGTGGTGCCAGCTCCTGTAGTATTTTACTGTCTCCTTGCCTCTGAGTGCGGCTTCTTTTATGGCACCAGTGGTGAGTGGGCATTTCCAGAGGAATGGGCTGGGAGTGTGCAGTCAGCAGCTGTTAGCCCAGGTTCTCCTTTCTTCCTCTGGAGCCCATGAGGACCCGGCAGGTCCTGGCAGGGAAACAGGCGGCAGGCAGCCGGCTTGGTGGCAGCAGCAGGAAACGGATCTCGGCAGACCCCTCACTTGACCCACACCAGGCTCTTCATCCAGAGGCAGTCTCCGGAAACGGGAGGGTTTTCACACTGCCCAGCAAGTCTAGGACTGCCCGCCAGCGTCACTGTTAGAGCCTAGAACTGATGTCTCCTTTTACCTTTTTCCTCCCCTCAACAGGATCCAAGCAAAACTACCTGGAATCGCAAAGAAAAAGGCAGAATAAGTACATGGAAACCAGAAATGCCACAGTTACTAAAACACCATTTAATAGCTATACTGTTGTTACTTGTACTATGAAGGAAAGTGCTCAGTGTCAGCTTGAGCCTGCATTCCAAGCTTTTTTTGGTTTTTGTTTTTGCAATTTGGTGTTTCCCCCTCCTTTCCCTTTACCTGCAGAATCAAGCACAAGAATTATTGGACTAAAAAATGAACTGATATCTTAGAACATAAAAAAAAAGAATAAAGACAGATTCATTTGAATAGGCAAATCAATGCCTTAATGATGGTGGAGCCTTAATGGTGATATAGCTTGAAAGGGGAAAGATGGGAGGGTAAAGGAGAAAAATATAAAACACCCCTCTTGGGTTCTATTTAATTTTCAGAGCTATGTAATTTTCTTACATAGCTGCCCATCATAATTTTTCCCTTATTTTTAAGCTAAGAAATGGTTAACTTGAGAAATTATCTGGGGATAAGAGTGGGATTCCTTCCCACGAGCTTGTGGGGGGTTTTGCAGCCCTTGACCCCCTCTTTACGCCCCACAATGTGAGCAGCTACCCTTCATATTCCTCCTCCGCTTATAGATAAAACTTTCAGCTCTGAGTAACTTATAGGTGATGGTAACAATTCCCGGTTACCAGATGCCATCTGGTAGCCGAAAACCGAACCAGCCGGTGGGATTGGAGCGGGAGCCCGCACTGCCTGCCGCCGACAGGAAGGAGAGGCTCCGCCATCGGAAGGTGGTGTGGGGTCCTTCGGGACACTAGTTCCAAGCTTTAGTCTGAGAGCTTATTCCTGAATGTGCTTTCCTCCCCCTTCCTACCCACCTCGCCTCAAGTTTAATAAATATGGTTGTACTTTTCTTATCCTGAAACAAATGTCTGTAACTGCTGTATACTGCTGTAAACTTGTTAGCGGAAAAAATCTGCATGTGGGCTCCTGGGTTGTTGAGTTGTTGTGATCCTATCTCAGTCCGTGGAGGGGATGCCCAGAGGCACACTACGGAAACAGGCTTTCTCCTCATCTTTCCCCAGCCTCCCCTTCACGGCTGCCTCTGGCCTGTGCTCAGCGCTGGGCCCTGAAGCCACAGCCCGCGGTGGGCGGAGGTGCTGTGTCCGGCAGAGACCACAGATGAGCACAGGGAGGTGCACAGGCCGTGTTAACGGAGGCGGGCTTCTGGGTGTGCTGTGCCGAGGGCTCCTTTCTCTCCCAGGCACACAGGATGTCCTAGCGCCTGTGTCTGGGCCAGGCTCCCCTTTGGAGAGTTTTCCAGGAAGCCAGGCCAGGCACGGCAGGGTTGGGTGTGTTGATGGGCTCTGTGCAGTTAAAAGACACAGAGCATCGGGCGAAGGGCAACGGGGGACCTTGGATTCCCATTTGAGATTAAGCGTCCGCCTCCCCTTCCAACATGGAAATTCTGTAGATTTGAATGACACCTGTGAGTTCCTTCAGGTTGTAACTCATGACAACCCAGAGGGAACCTGCCTGGTGACTTCAGCGTGAGGGCCACGATGTGTGACGGCCCCAAAGCACTGCATGTAGGCTGAGGTGGCGGAAGGAGAGCGGCTGCTTTTGGGGGCAATTACTTAGGAGCTTAGATGGTCACAGGCATCCTTGCCTTACTGCATTCTATGTCTCAGCCCTTTGACACTTGAGCTGATTTCCGGTCATGGTGTAGAATGTGCATCCTCCGCCCCCCGCAGCCTCCCGGGAAGCCTGCACCGTGACCTCCGGGCCTCCCCTCCGGCCTGTCCACCCTGGGACCTGCGCCCGCTTCCTTTGGTAATGCTGTGCTTAGCTACTTGGGCAGGTCTTGTGCCACACAGGAACTTTATTTTATTTTAAGAAAAGCCCATAGATGAAAAATTCATGAAACTGTGCGTGTGTGTGCGTGCAACATAAAATACAGTAGCACCTAAGGAGCTTGAATCTTGGTTCCTGTGAAACTTTAAATTGATGTGGTATTAATAAAAATTGAAAAGTCTGGTGTCATTCTGCTAACTTTATTCTTTATACACAGTTTGAATAAAGAAAGAACCAAACAAGTCTTCCACTGGCCCCCACCCCCACTCCACTTTGCGGCTTTTAAAAGCAACTGAGAGTTGATACCAGTATCGGTGCCCCAGACTGCAGAACTTCCACAGGACAGCCAGGACGTGCGTTTGGTTTCTGAAAGGATGTAGGAGCCCCTCTAAGAGGTGAGCCTCAGGAGCAAGATGAGGAGTGGAAGGGGCCAGGGGTCTGCTGCCCCGTTCAGTCTCACACCAACTGAGGAGGGTCCCGCCTACAACACAGGAAGCAGCTTCCAAATCACACATGGCCATGACGACTCCGTCCATCGCCATGGAAAACAAAAACTAAATTCATCGGGTCTTTGCCGAAACACTTGTCACCTGGGACTCTCCTCCAAAACCAAGGCTGCCATGCCCCTTAAGCTGGATTTCTTTTTTTTAAGTTTACTCAACATACCTTACAAAACAGGCTGAAACTTAAAAAAATAGTAACTGATGCAAACTTGACAAATATGCATACAAATGCTTGGATAATGAATGTCACTAACATAGTACATAAATGTGTATTCAGAGTTAACATTTACGGTACATATTGGCCATATAGCAAGCATACCATTAACAAAAAGCTCATGAAGAAATGTCACCTGTTCACGTCAGACTCCCGAGACAAGGAGGCACACACCTAGAGGGACAGCCTGGCCCCTGGGCAATGAGGCCACAGCTCCAGCCGACACGGGCATCACCCACTGGCACCTGCCACTGGTGGTCAGCACTGAAGTGAGCGTTTGTGATGGCTGAGGGCTTATTAAAACGGATCACTGCCCCCCACCCCCCAGTGGTGGGCGCAGTGAGGTGGGCCCAGGAACTTGTTTCCGTTCGCTCCAATGCAATGCTGGCCTGGTGGCTACAATAGAATAGGTTGCCCCAATATGCCTACTGTTTTTGAACAGGCAGAGTAGCAAAAGTGGCAGAATACTAATTGTAGGTTTGAAAACGGCTTGTGTGAAGGAAAAGAAAAGAACGGCAGTGCCCAGCCTGGTGCCATCCATAATCCCTGGTCTCAAGCTTGTAATACTGTCTCAAAAACCCTGAGGGTTCAAACACTATTCACTCTCCAGTCAACTGAGAGCCATGCGCACAATGGCAGGGCCCTGGCCCTGGCCCTGGCGGGAGGCCTGGGGCCAGGCAGCAGTCAAACCCGCTTAGGTTCGGATGGACGGCTGCTGCCCATGCCTTCCTGCTGGGCCTGCGGCCTGAGAGTCACTCGGGGCAGTGTGCCGCCCCCCAGGTCACAGCTAACTGCCCGGGCACAGCCTGCAGCGCCCAGCATGCCGTCCTGCGGCCGGTCAGGTGGGAGCCTTCTCCTAACTTACCAGAGATCGGGAGGCAGCGTCATGTAGTGCAAAGAAACTGAACTGGACGTGTTTTATCCTAGTGTGTGTCCTGTCCCTAGCTGGCTGCGTGACAACTCAGTCTCCGGGCTTCCTTTTACCTCTCCGTGAAAGGGGTGGAGGCAGATACTAGTTACTCTCCAAGGTCTTTCCAACTCGGACAATCTTGAATTATATAAAAATGCTATAAAATCCGTGGTATAAAATCCAATTCCCAAATCAGGAAGAGTCGAGGGGACCGGGCCTGCGGCACTTGAACCCTGGGCTCTGGCCTGGCGGGGCCGGGATGGGGGAAGGGCTCCTCTTTGCTGTTCCCGCCACGGAGGCAGCCTGGCCTCCCCACACTCAGCCTTACGGCCGAAGAACCGGCCCGTGTGAAGAGCAGGCACGGGGCCGGAGTCCCCGGGTGGGACCCTCATCCCCTCTGCCCTCACCCCTTAAGTCCTTCTCCACCGCCTCGCAGCTTATCTCTGACACTCCTTAATAAATAAGACATTTGCACGCAAAGGTGACTGGGACAGCTCTCTCCCCGCCCCTCCCCTCCCCTATAAAAGCATTAAATACAGTTTCCAAATAAAATACAAAGAGCAAAAAGGGCCTGATTTGGGGGCCACCCGTTCTCCACAGGAGAATGAATCTACACATCCCTCTCGGACCTGCCTGGGAGATCACGGGGCCCCTCCCCGGCGGGGCCGACGAAGGCCGAGGCCGGCCCCAGGCCTGGGCCCCGAGGCCGGCGGCGCGCCCGCCGCGTACAAAGGAGCCGGGCGGGAGCGGGAGAGCAGCAGCGCCTGAGCTGCGGGGTGCGCGGAGCCCAGAGCAGGAGGGGCGCAAAGGAAAAAGTGCTAATCCCTTTGGGGGTCTCCTCCGGCGGCGCGGAGGGCGCGGGAGGCGGGCGGTGCCCACGCAGCCCGCAGTCCGGGGGCCCAGCCACCTCCTTCCCGCCCACGAAAACCGCCAGCCCGGGTGCGACGCCCCTTCCCCGCCGGGCTGCCCGGGCCCCGCCTCCGGAGCGGCCTGCGTCTGCGCCCCGGCCTCCGGGGCTCCGGCCAGGGACGGAGCGCCAGCCCCCTGGCCTCCCCGCAGCCCCGTCTCGGGTCCTAATACTGACCGCCGGCGCCCCCTCCTGGCCCCGCACAGCACCGCCGGGCCGGGCGGGGCTGCGGGCTCTCGTGCCGGAGCCCGGAGGCGGCGGGGGCTCCTCGGGAAACGCGGGGCCCCGTGCGGGGAGGGCCGGGGCGCGGGGTCCGTCTAGCACCGGGGACTCCGCGGCGCCCCGCCGACCCCCAACCTCCGCCCGGCCCGGCCAGCGGGGGGCAGCGGCGGCGCCTCCCAGGCAAGGCCGCCCCGCCCGGCCCGCGGCCCGTCACGCCCGGCACACGGCGCCCGCCTTGAGGTCCGCGCCGCCCTCGCGCGGCGCCGGCGCGGGCGGCCCGAAGCCCTCGTGGCCGTAGCAGCGCAGCGCCGCCTCCTCGTAGGCCTCCAGGATGGTCTGGCGCTCCTCGGGCGTGAAGTCCATGGAGAAGGGGTGCACCTGCAGGATGTGCCGCTTGATGGTGCTGACCTTGAGCGTGGCCAGCGCGCCGCCGCACACCATGCACACCAGGCCGCGCCGGCTGCCGTCGTAGTCCATCAGGTACTCGCCCCGCCAGCGCGGCTGGTAGTTGCGCCGCTGCTCCCGGCTGCGGGGAGGCGGCGGCGGCGGCGGCGGCGGGGGTGGTGGTGGGGGCGGGGGCGGCGGCGGCTGCGGGGGCAGCGGCGGGAAGGCCAGCCCCCCGGGCTCCTGGCCGTCCTCCTCGTCGTCCTCTCCCTCGGCGGGCCGCTCCGACGGCTCCCCGGGAGAAGGCGGGGCGGCGCCTGGGAAAGGACGGAGACCGCATTGGAGCGCCCTGCGTCTCCGCTGCACAGCCCCCACCTCTGCTCCCCGGCCCCCTCCTCCCCGACCTCTCCTCCGGCTTCCTCTCGCTGCCCCCTGGGCCCAGCCCGGCCTCCCGGCTCCCCCTCCGCCTGCCCTGCGCTCCCAGCTCACCCCACCACGCCTCCTCCTCCGGCTCCGCCTCCGGGCCCCCTCCCCCCGCCTCGGAGGCCGCGGCTGCGCCGGGGGCGGCGGGGGCCTGGGGGGGCTCGGGGCAGGGCAGCCCCAGGGCCAGCAGGTGGGCGGCCTTCTCGCTCCACTCCTGGGCGATGAGGGCCTTGACGGGCCCGCTGAGGCGCGTGGAGCCCGGGTGGCGCTGGCGGATGTGCCGCTTGATGGTGCTCATCTTGAGCGAGGCCAGCGCGCCCCCGCACACCATGCACACCAGGCCGCGCCGGCCGCCGTCCAGCTCCATGAGGTACTCCAGCCGCCAGCGCTCCTGGTAGTGGCGGCGGTGGTCGCGGCCCCGCGGGCCCCGGCCTGGGCCCCCCACCCTCTCGCCCTCCTCCAGCTCCTCCTTCTGGTCTGCGGGCCCGGGCCCCTCAGGGACCCCGCCAGCCTCTTCCTTTACGTCTGGGGGACTGGGATCCCGAGAGGAGGGGGCTCCAGCAGCGGGGGCCGGGTCCCGGCTTTTTCTGGTCAGGTCCTGGGGGACGAGGTCATCGTCTGTTGGGGAAGGGGTGAGGGAGAGGGGCTCAGCCTGCTGGCTAGGTTGTCCTCCCCCACGCAGAAGGGGGCCCTGTTCCTCACCCCAGGCCCAAGCTAGAGGGCGAGCCAGTGTGTGCAGGGAGGGGGAGAGAGAGGGGGGAGAAGAGGAACAGACCCACTCTGCAGGGCCACCTGGGCCCTGGACGGTCCTCGCACCTGGTGGGGGCTGAGTGAGCTCAGACAGGGTCTCGGCTTGGCCACCCCAGGCCTGCAGCAGGGCGCTGCGCTGGGGGCCGCTGAGCCCCAGGGAGCTGGGGTGCACCTCCAGCACGTGGGCACGGATGTCATCCAGATGCAGGCTGGGCAGTGCCCGGCCACATGCCATGCACACCAGCCGGTTCCCCCGAGGGTCATAGTCCATGAGACACTCTGCCCGGAACCAGTTCTGCAGGGACTCCTTCAGCCTCCGCTCCAGGCGCCGAGCCCCCAGCCCCCTGCTGCCCCTGGCCCTCCGGGAGGCCGCGTGGCGCTGGCGCCGAGCCCGGGCTGCCCCTGGGCCCCCTCGTCGCGGGCGCCTGCCGGCCCCGCCAGCTGGGGCTTTGCCTGGAAGGTTGGAGGGAGGGAAGGAACTGAGATGCTGCCCTCCGGGGAGCCCCCACCACAGCCAGGTCCTCCGCGAGCCTCTTCTCACGGACTCTGAGCCCTGGCCACGCTGCTGTCCTCTTCTCCCCTCATGTCTTCAGTCCCCCCGCTTCTAAGCCTCCTGCACACAAACCCCGAGGCCCACCCACTCCTCCCCCGGACCCAGATGCGAGCACCTTCTCTGGACTCCACTGTGCACCCTCAGTTCCCAGCCCTTCCCCTGCCTAGCCCCAGCCCCCACTCCCCTTAATCCTCCAAACGCCACCCAAAGTCACAGCTGTCGGGGTGCTGGAGGCTCCCCGGTCCCACTATCTCCCCCCCCCCCCCCCCCCCCCGAGACTGTGCACTAAGGGCGGTGAGCAGGCCCCGCCCAAAGGAAGCCAGGCAGCTGGCCGAGAAGCCGGGGTTGGCCCCACCTGCCCCCCGGCCCCTGCCCACATTACCTGGGCCCTTGGACGGGCAAGCTTGGAGGTGAGACCCCTCTTCTTCCTCTTCCTCTTCTTCCTCCTCCTCCTCCTCAGGCCCCTGGACCCCCAGGCCCTCAGCCTCGCCACAGGCTCCCAGCCCCAAGTGAGCATCCCAGCTGTTGCTGATCACTTCCTTCTCCCGGGGGCTCCAGTGCAGGGAGTAGGGGTGCTTTTGGCGGATGTGCCGCTTGATGGTGCTGAGCTTGAGCGTGGCCAGGGAGCTGCCGCACACCATGCACACCATGCCGTGCCGGGCGGGGTTGAAGTCCATCAGGTACTCCAGCCGCCAGTGGTCATGGTAGTACCGCCTGTGGTCGCGGCCTGGGATGCGGCTCTTGCCGGGCCTGGAGGCCCGGGCCTCGCTGTGGTCTGAGTATTTCCTGCCTGAAGATGGTGGTCCCCTGGACCTGGAGGAGGGTAGGGGGGCGCTCCCCCAGGTCCCCAAGGTCCCCCCTTCCAGATGAAGATCTTGCCCTGAGGAGGGGGAAAGGGAGACAGGCTTTGGTGTTCTGTAGCCCAAGAGGAGGAGGAGGGAGGGGTCGTTCAGGGGCAGGAACAACAGGAATATGGGAGAGCAGGGAGTCAAAGCAGGGGCCCTTTAGAGAGGGTGAGGGCCCTTTAAGAGAGGATCAAGAACAAAAGGATGCAGGGCGCTATGAGGGACTAGCTTTGACTTTTTTTAAAATAAGGTGAAGCCCAGGGAAGCAGCCGGCGCCTTAAGCACCCTTTTTGGACACGGGAGCTGCAGGGGTGAAGCCAGGAGAGCAGCAGGCTGGGCGGTTACAGCTGAGCAGAGCGGGCAGCCGGGCGAGAACAAAGGGGGCATCTGTCTGTGTCCAGGGCTGCGCACCGGACCCACCCGCCAGAGGCCCCGGCCAGGAGGGCCCCACCCACGGAGCGTCTTCCCACGTGTCCCGTTTCAGGGGTGCTGAGCATTGTCAGTTCCCCCCAGAGGCAGCCGCAGAAGCGATCCCCATGACAAAGCTGCCAGCACCTCCAGGGAAAGGACCCTGGCTTCCCTGGAGACGTTGAAAGGGGCGGCAGGAGGGCCACCAGCGTGGCTACTGAAAATTCTGCAGCAAGGAGCGGCCCCCGCCCACGGGGAGCTTCAGCCCGTTCAGTCTTCCTAGTGATTTGTTATTTGCTCTGGCAGCGAGCTGGCCACTGCCCAGCAGTCAGAGGGCGGGCACCAGAGCAGCCAGGAATGAGCCCAGTAACCCAGCCACGTTCCCCTTTGCCAGACAGACAGAGATCCAGAACAGTCCCCCACGCTAACGACAGTTTGGACCCAGATTTTATTTAAGCTGAACAGACCCGGTGTGGTTATTATCCAAATGGAGGATCTCAGGGCTGGGGGGTTGGGGGAGAGAGACACGACAAAAGACAGGATCAGAGAGGGCTCCCGTCGCCACTGTGTTTTGTTTAAATAGCTCCAAAGGAAAAAATACAGGCTTCCGAGGAAGAGGCCCGAGTTCGAGTCCTGCCTCCACTGGTAACTTGCTCTGCGACCTTTCATAGGCCATGTCGCTCTCTGGGCCTAAGCTCTTTGTCTGCAGAGGCCCTGGATAGCTAGCTGGTCTCTCAAGCATCCTTCCAGCGCTGGATCTAGGATAGTCCACGGCGAACTGGCCCTTTAAGAGCCGAAAAAAGGGGAGGAGCCGAGATTTTTTAAAAACAAAAGGGGATGGGGAGAGTTTGGGGGAGGGGGTAGCTCCGAGGTTAGGGCCATCTCCCTGCCCCTGACAGCCCTCGCGGGTCTGAAGGCGTTGACCTTGCAGCAGGGACGTGAGGAAGCGGTCCCCTCTGAGAGCAAATGGGGAGGACTGGCTGGCTGATCCCACTACAGCTGACAAATTGTGGCAAATTTTTCTGAAAAGACGGGAGATCCGCGGACAGGAGGGCATGTCAGCCTTTGTGGGTGAGCCCATCCCTGTACAACTGCCCACGGCGAGGAAGGCAGGGGCGGCCCCCCGAGGCGCAGGCTGCCCTCTCTCCTAGGAGAACGCGGGGTTAAAGAAAAAGGGTTCCGTCCCTAAGCAAAGGGAGAGGGGCCGCCCCTACAGCTCCGCTCAACCCGGGGGAATCCCCAGAGGGACCCACAGTCCGGGCACACTTTTAAGGGACAGCGATGAGGGAGCCCACCTGGGAGGCTGAGACAGAGGGCGGGCGGGGGCCCAATCCACAGCCCGGAGCGCGCGACCCGCCGCGCCCGGCCCGGCCCGGCCCGGCCCTTCGGGGCCCTCGGACCGCGCCTCCAGGGCGGGGGCCACGGGCCCCTTTAAGGGGCTGGGGATCCGCCCGCGCCCCGTGGGCCGACCCCGGGAGCTGGGCGGGGGGCTCCCCCGCCGGCCCTGCAGCCGCGACCTGCGCCCGCCAGGTGGCGCCCCCGGCCGCCGGCCCGTGTCCCCCCCTTTGTTCGGCGGCGCAGAGGGGCCCGGAGCCCGGAGCCGCTGCCCTCCCATCCCCCACGCCGGGGCCCCCACCCCGCCGCCGGCCCCAGCGCTTACCGCCGTCGTCGTCCTCGGGCTCCGCGCCGCCGCTCAGTCCCGCGGGCGGCAGCCGTCGGCCCCGTGCCGAGGCCGCTGCTGGCCCGGGGCCGCCCCTGCCGCCGCCGCTCCGGCTCCGGTGGTCCCCGCCGGGTTCCATGCGCCGCGCCGTGGAGCGGGGCCCCCGGGCGGCGGGGCGCGGCGCCGGCGGCGGCCCGCGCGGGCACTCGGGGCGCGGGGCGCCGGGGCGCGGGGCGCATGCAGGGGCAGCGGCCGCACGGACGGCTGGCTGCTCGCTCGGCGGCGCGGGCTGGACCGGGGTGGGGATTCCTGTCTGGGGGCCCCTGGGGCTCCTTTAAGGGCTCCTGGGTAAATTTAAAGGGGCCGCGCGCTATTTCCTCCTGCCAGCTCGCGGGGGGCTCGGGGGGAGAGGCGGGAGGCGACGCGTCAGGCCGAGGCTCCGCGGCCGGCGCCCGCCCCGGGCGTCAGGAGACGGACCTGGCCACCCGCGCGGGCCCCGCCGGGGCTGGGCTCCGGGGCTCCGGTCCCGGCGCCCGAAGGGTCACCGAGCTGGCGAGGGGCGCCGCGGCCGCTGCGACGCGCTTCCCGCGCGGCTGGGCTCACGGCCGCTGCACCCTCGGGGCATCGCGGGCGGCGCCGGCGGGGGTCGCGGGGAGACGGCCTCCCGCACGCCCGGCGCGGCCCCGGAGCGGACGCGGCTGGCAGGGGCCCCAGATGGCCGCGGCCCCGCCGAGAGGGTGGAGCCGCGGGGGCGGCCGCGCCCCCTCCCGCGGGAGCCGCCCGGGAGCGCCGGGGCGCGGGCTGCTCCATGGGAGGAGCGGGCGGCGCAGCTCCCTCCGCGGAGCCGGCGGGGCGGGACCGCGGCGCGGAGGCTCCGGCCGGGAGCGGAGCGCGGGAGCCGCAGCCGCTCTCCCCGGCTGCACTCTACCGGGCGGAGGGGGCCGGGATGGACGCCGGGCGGAGGGGACCGGGATGGACGCCGGGCGGAGGGGACCGGGATGGACGCCGGGCGGAGGGGACGGCAGGATGGGCGCCGGGCGGAGGGGGCGGCAGGATGGGCGCCGGGATGGACGCCGGGCGGAGGGGGCCGGGATGGACGCCGGGCGGAGGGGGCCGGGATGGACACCGGGCGGAGGGGGCCGGGATGGACGCCGGGCGGAGGGGGCGCGCGCTGGCCCGGGGTGCGGGAGGAGGCCCTCGGTGCAGCCCGGACCCCGCGCCCGGCCGGGGAGGCGAAGGACGCCGCGGCGGGCGGGGCGCCGGTCCCCCGAGGACGCGCCGCAAAGGCTGGGGGCGCTGGGGACGCTGGCTTTGAGCCCGGGACGCCCCAGCCCCAGCCCCGGGAATCGGAGAGAAGGGATTCGGAGAGGCAGCCGGGGGCGTGGCTGCTGGGGTTCTTCCTCGGGACCCGCTGGGGTCGCAGGCACTGGTCCCCCACACAAAGGCGATCCCTGCAGGGCCAGAGGACGGGGCGGGAGTCCATGCGGGATCTTACTGTCCAGAGGGGGGTTCCTCTCTTCGCTGGGGCGGTCCCTGCTGGCAGAGGGCGAGAGAGAGAAACATCGATGTGAGAGAGAAACATATGGGTTGCCTCCCGGATGTGCCCCAACCTGGGATCAAACCCACAACCTTTTGGTACATGGGCAATGCCCCAGCCAACCACGTCACCCGGCCAGGGTGTGCTTAAATTTTCTTTTTTAAAAAAATATTATTGAAACTATTACATATGTGTGTCCCCCTTCTCCCCTCCCCATTGGCCCCTTCTACCCAGCCCCACCCCAAAACCCCTCAGGCCCTCGCCACCCTATTGTCTGTGTCCGTGGGTTATGTGTACAAGTCCTTGGTTAAGTGCCTAAAGGTGTCTGTCACCACGGGAGATGTCTCTTCTCTGCCTGGTCCCCTGAGTGTTTATGAGACGTCACCTTGGGTAAACTGAGTCTCCTGCAGCCATGCACTCTCTGCTGCTGGCCTCGCTCTCAGGGTGGAGCTGCACTTCCTCTTACCAGCGTGGGATCAGAGCCCCTTTCCCCAGTGATCAGAGCCCCTTTTCCCAGTGGTCCCCGGCCCCTGCTGATGGGGTGCCAGAGGAGGGGGGAGTGGGGGCTCCTTCGCTCATTATGTTCTTCACTTTCCCTCGGTGCCAGGCCCCGGGACACAAAGAGAAAGTAAGACAGACACACGCCTGGCCTCCGGGGCGCCTGAGTATGTTTGTGTGTGTTTTTAATTAGGAGGGTAACACGCTTGGGGCTACCCTCGTTGATTCGGTAAACGTCCTTGAGCGGGTGATTTTATTTATTTTTATTTTTTTTAAATATGTTTTATTGATTTTTTACAGAGAGGAAGGGAGAAAGTTAGAAAGCTATTGTAGAAATGTCGATGAGAGAGAAACATCTACCAGCTGCCTACCAGGGATGTGCCCACAACCAACGTACATGCCCTTGACCGGAATCGAACCTGGAACCTTTCAGTCCGCATACCGACGCTCTAGCCACTGAGCCAAACCGGTTTCGGCATGAGCGGGTGATTTTATTCTTCACCAGAAGAAGGCTCCACCAGGAGCCGTTTGTAACGGCCTCCGGCGAGCCTCTCTCTGCCCACATCCTGCAGAGCCCAGACCGGCTCCAGGCTCCACAGTCCCCCAAGCCTTTCCCGCTCACAGCTGACCGCCGCCCACCCAAGGGAAGCTTCGCTTTGCATATGAAGAAAGGGGGGATCCGGTTCTAGAGTCTCACCCCAAGCCATCCGTTCACTTTCTCCCCCTCCCCCCCCTTCAGAAAACATTGACTGAGCCGGTCCTGAGTGCCTAGCCCTGGGGTGGGGATATAAAGGTTTAAAAAGAAATAACAGCCCGGCCGAAACCGGTTTGGCTCAGTGGTAGAGCATTGGTCTGCGGACTGAAGAGTCCCGGGTTCGATTCCAGTCAAGGGCATGTACCTTGGTTGCAGGCACATCCCTGGTAGGGGGTGTGCAAGAGGCAGCTGGTCGATGTTTCTCTCTCATGGACCTTTCTTAGCTCTCTATCTCTGCCCCTTCCTCTCTGTAAAAAAATCAATAAAATATATATTTAAAAAATAATAATAAAATATACAACAGCCCGGAGGGAGCTCATTCCTCCCTCCCACACACACACACCCTAAAAGCTCTCCACCTACTGAGTCTGCTGTGGGACAGGGAGAAACGGTGACAGCCAGGGCCTTATCTTGATCTTCATGGATCCTGGGTACTTTTACCTCCATGGACATCTTCCTTTAAAAAAAAAAGTGAGCCCAACTGGCTCAGTGGGTGAGCGCCAACCTATGAACCAGGAGGTCACGGTTCGATTCCCAGTCAGGGCCCAGGCCCAGGTTGTGGGCTCATTCCCCAGTGTGGGGTGTGCAAGGAGCAGCTGATCAGTGATTCTCTCTCATCGTTGCTTCTTCTTTCTCTCCCTCTCCCTTCCTCTCTGAAATCGATAAAATATATTTTAAAGTGATTTAATAATTTTTGAGAGCCCTGCAAATTGCTTTATTTTTCCCGTTGTGAGAAAAAGCACACATCTTCTTTGACCCTTTAAGAGTTCGTTTTGGACTTCTGATTTCAAAGTAAGTTTTCAAAGATGTTTTCATGAGCCCCTAGATAGAAGTATGGTGGGCTCTAGGCATTGCCCTGTTCCTGTGGGTTCCCTGGCCTGGATCACAATCGGGTGAAGGCAGGTTTCCGCTGGGAGAGGCAGAAGAGGAGAGAGAAACGAACGGGGCGGGAGCCCTGGGTGCCCCGCGGAGCGCCTGTGTGTCCCGGAGGCCGTGGAGTGCCGGTGGTGGTCGGTGTTCAGAGCACCCGGCGGCCGCCCTGAGCGCAGGGGCCGGGAGGGGAGGCTCCGCACCATCAGGAATCACGTTACGGCGGCGGCCGCGGGCCCACCGAGAGGAAACCCAAGATTGGAGCGGCGCCACCCACCGTGGTACCCGCACTGGACACCAGGGGCGCCAGAGGGCAGGGGCGGTGAAGGGCCACCTGAGCCCCGCTCTCTGGCATTGCCAGGCGGAAAGGACACCTCGCCAGTGAGCTATGTATTAGCCAAACGTGTACTGAAAGCTGCTTCTACTCAAGGGGCATCTCTTCGTTATTCCCTAGCCCAGACGGGACCCTTTTAACTAATTTCTAACTAATTAGTCTAGGACAGTGATGGGCAAACTCATCAGTCCACAGAGCCAAATATCAACAGGACAGCGATTGAAATTTCTTTTGAGAGCCAAATTTTTTAAGCTTCTTCTAACGCCTCTTCTTCAAAATAGACTCGCCCAGGCCGTGGTATTTTGTGGGAAAGCCACACTCAAGGGGCCAAAGAGCCACATGTGGCTCGCGAGCCGCAGTTTGCGGACCACGTGTCTAGGAAAGCCTGCTGCGGTCCTAGGTTAGCCATATGAAGAGGGTGGAATCACAGGAGATGGTGCCTGATGGAATATGATGATCAGAGAAAGGCCAGGCTGACGCTAATAACCTGGAAAGGAGGGACAAGGGATATAAAATATATACATCTGGGGGTGGAGACAGAATGAGGTGACAAGCTGGAAGCTTTGGAGCCCATATCAAACCCAGAACCCTTCGTTTGTGCACCCTGCCTCTTCCCCTCCGTTCTCCGACTCCGATTCCCAGTCCGCTGTCCGGTCTCCAGCAGCGTGGGCTCCTTGGGGTCCCCACCCTGCAAGGCCCCAGTCTCCCGCGCGGCATCAGAGCTGTCCCCCCTGCTCCCACGCTCCTCCGCAGCCCCAGGGGCGGAAGGGCCTCGCGTAGATGCGGAATGGAGGAGCTGTGAGTAGTGTCCCTCAAGGAAGCTCTTAGGGCAGAGTAAATACAAACTAGACCTAAAGAAGCCGCGGGTTCTGGATCCCACTTCTCAGTGCAGCCCAGAACCAAGAAACTGGCTCTGAAAAGTAGCCTTTCGGCGTTCCCAGAGGGAAGACCTCAACTCTCTGGAAGAACAAAAGTCAATTAGCCACAGAGCCCATGAATGTCAAAGGGACTGTGCATGTAGATTGCAAATTAAGTCATCCGGTGAACAATTCCATAGGAATTCCAAACCTAGGTTATCCCAGGCATAAGCTATTGTACAACTCCAAACTCTGTATGTGTGTGTGGAGGGGAAAGGGTGTGGAGGAATTTCGGCCCCCAGTCACTCCAGTTTGAAAGTAAAGCAGCCAGTGTCATATTTATTTTTCTAAATGTGTGTTTTTTATTGATTTGAGAGAGAGGAAGCGAGAGAGAGAAACCTCTATTGGCTGCCTCCTGCACACCCTGCTCCGGGGATCAAGCCTGCAACCCAGGCTTGTGCCCTGACCGGGGAATCGAACTGGCAACCTCTTGCTGCCCAGGATGATGCTCAGCCAACTGAGCCACACCAGCCAGGACAATATCTGTTTTTAGAAAAGAGAAAACTGGCAAGCTGTTTCCCGGTGTTAATCTTAAATCGAGTGTTCAGAGCAGGTGAATAGGATGTGGCATCCCAAGAGGCACAGTCACAGACAGGAAAAGAAGCCATTTGTCCAAAACTCAGCTAGTAATTGGTGAAACGAAGTCTTAATCCCCAGCCTACCTATCTCCAAATTCTGACACTTAGAAACAGGATCAAAATATTACCGAAAAGAAACCTATTATATGTGTACGCATACGTACTCAGACGTCTCCGTTTTAGCAAATTCCAACATTTTGACACATTTGCTACATGACTTTTTTTTTTTAATATATTTTATTGATTTTTTTACAGAGAGGAAGGGAAAGAGATAGAGAGCTAGAAACGTCGATGAGAGAGAAACACTGACCAGCTGCCTCTTGCACACCCCCTACCGGGGATGT